CTTTACTGATCACAGTTACATGTATGTACTCAACATCCTTCTGTTGGAAGATTGATACAATAAATAATTTACATCTTTCATTGATCACAGTTACATGTATGCACTCAACATCCTTCTGTTAGAAGATCGGTATAAGCAATAATTTACATCTTTCATTATAATAACAAATAAGAGAATATCGACGACTGTCGAAAAAGTGCAAGGAGAATAAGACCAGGTGTTTCATAAGAGCCAAGCTTTTTATTCATAGCCTTCATCCCTAGCAGTAATATATTGCACTTCCTTTAATGATGATATTGCATATACATCACTAGAAAGCATCGACTGTATCCTCTGATCAAATTAGGAATGGAAACAGAAATAATTTGAACAGTTTACGCTAATGTAAGGTGACGTCACTGATTCGTCTACGACATAATTTGTTTGCTTAAAAATTTTGAAAAAGAAATTAATAATTATAAGCATTTTTATAGAAAATTTAAAAAGCATTTTAAACAGGAGTCGTATGTAAGTATGTAATGAAAATAAAACCACACATAAGTGTTCATCGGACATCGCCGATTACACATGTTTAATTTTGTTGCGGGAATACATATATATCCTTGGGTTAAAACCCCTGTGAAATTTATCCACACACGTGATACACTCAAGCTACTGGAAACGTTACATGTCAACACCAATGCGTGGTGTATTCACAACAGTTTTTAAAATACGCAGCACTTATTGAAAACCGTGTTTATCCAGAACTTGGCACATCATTTCAAAAAAATATTTTGAAAAGATAGATTTATTAGCAAAAGGATTGAACAACAGGATGTGTTTGTAGAATTTCTGGATAAAATTGAGAGGGGATTAGTTATATGCAACGCAGCGATGTAAGGGGCATTACTCTATCAGAATTATAGCTTTTTATAATATACATGTATTATAGAACTAATTCTTACAGTGTAGACAATATGATGTTGTCAAATGTTCGGAGCAATCCGCTCCTTTATCGAGACACAGAAAAAAACACTAAACAATTACATTACATAAAAACAATAATAGAAGTATAATAGGATGGAGTCAATGTACATTCTGCCTTCTGCTAAAACTAGCCAAGGGGCTTATTGTTTTTAAAATATATTAGCTATATCCTATTATATTTCTTATATAGTTTTTCTGCAATATAATTGTTTTGCTGTGTTTTTCTGTGTCTCTATAAAGGAGCGGATTGCTCCGAAAATCTGACATTTCATATACAAACCTATGCTTGTAAGGATCCTAGAACATTTTTTAGAAAATGTAAACAAACTTGCACATTACATGTACATTAATAAATTAATTAATTAAAAAAATAAAAGGACAAAACAAATGTCTGTCAATATATACAAATGTTTAAACGTACAATCCGGACATCAAATGAGAGAATACACCGTTTTAATTTTGAATTTGAAAAGTTCTCAGTGTTTCTAACTGATCGCTTATATATATATATATATGTTCTATAGAGTTGATGCGATGAAATATGTATAACTGTAATGAAAACTGTTAATTTGGCACATAGGTGAAGTAAACAAATGATCCCATAGGTACCTCACATTATATACATCAATTAGAAATGCATCAACTATTCCCTTTGTATATCTTTTGGACGCATTGTTTAGTGTTCTGGCTATGAAATGTTCATTTGTATACCTTCTACTTGATATCTACATTCTTTATTCATCGTTCACCGTTGTACATCTACAAATTCCCGTCTAGATCTCTGTCCATGCTGCAATTGGTGTAATGTCTTCGCATTATTCAACATAATTATCCAAAGCAATAAAAACACATTCGAGAATAGGACTAGTAAATGATATTTACTATGATATTTAAAGTCAGTGAAGACTAGCTTCAGTTTCGTAGAATATATTTTGTATACGTTCTGAACACCAGGCCAACGTTCTTTGGTCGATCTAGTGATTTTTTCCATGTCTTGTTGGGATGGTTTTATCGTACCCAAAGAGGTGGAAGTCCTGGGCAAACATCCGCTGTACCCTGGCTATGGTGCTAGGTTTGATCGAGCTGTATGCCTCCGCTAGTGCTATTTGTCTTTGTTTCGACATTTGTGATTTTGAAAGCGGCCTGGATTGTATTTGTTCTAATATGAGTGTTGTCACATTTTCTGCATCAAAATCTGTCAAGTTCTGTGAAAATAAACAAATTCATTTTAACACATCCTATAATCAAACAAATCACATCATCATTACTTCCTTCAGGAAGATGAACATAACACACACATATATAATTGCACTTTAAACATTTGTTTATAGGTAAAGTATGCCAAAACATAATTACACTGCATCATAAAGCGCTTGTTCCTCCTTCTGATGCTAGAGGCTAACAAGTTGGAAATACGTACTGGTCAAAACTATTGTAGAAACAGAAAGGGTAATGCACAAAATCTCTTAACTTATGACTTCTAACATTTAGAGGAGTACTGGTCACTTTGAAATAAAATAATTAGTAATGTGCGAATATTATGAACCGTGTCACTACTCAAAACAGATAACCGGTCATCAAGACTCCAGATAACCTCGGGGACTAAACAAAATAAATTTATAGATAAAGTATGGTTATATATACAGTACGGTTATATATAAAGTATGGTTATAGATACAGTATGGCTATAGATAAAATATGGCTATAGATACAGTATGGTTATATGTATACAGTATATGGTTATAGATACAGTATGGTTATAGATAAAGTATGGTTATAGATAAAGTATGGTTATAGATAAAGTATGGTTATATATACAGTATGGCTATAGATACAATATGGTTATATGTATACAGTATATGGTTATATATACAGTATGGTTATATAAACGGTATGGTTATAGATACAGTGTGGTTATAGATACAGTATTGTTATAGATACAGTATGGTCATAGATACAGTGTGGTTATATATACAGTATGGTTATATATAAAGTGTGGTGTTATATACAGTATGGTTATACAAACAGTATGGTTATATATACAGTATGATTATAGATACAGTATGGTTATAAATAGAGTATGGTTATAGATACAGTATGGTCATAGATACAGTGTGGTTATAGATACAGTATTGTTATAGATACAGTATGGTCATAGATACAGTGTGGTTATAGATACAGTATTGTTATAGATACAGTATGGTCATAGATACAGTGTGGTTATAGATACAGTATGGTTATATATATACAGTGTTGTTCTATGTGCATTGGGGTTATATACACAGTGTGGTTATAGATACAGTATGGTTATATATACAGTGTGGTTACATGTATATATACAGTATGATTATATATACAGTATGGTTATAGATAAAGTATGGTTATAGATAAAGTATGGTTATAGATACAGGGTTATAGATACAGTATGGTTATAGATACAGTGTGGTTATAGATACAGTATTGTTATAGATACAGTATGGTCATAGATAAAGTATGGTTATACACACAGTGTGGTTATAAATACAGTATGGTTATAGATACAGTATGGTCATAGATAAAGTATGGTTATACACACAGTGTTTATAGATACAGTATGGTTATAGATACAGTGTGGTTATAGATACAGTATGGTTATATATATACAGTGTTGTTCTATGTGCATTGGGGTTATATACACAGTGTGGTTATAGATACAGTATGGTTATATATATACAGTGTTGTTCTATGTGCATTGGGGTTATATACACAGTGTGGTTATAGATACAGTATGGTTATATATATACAGTGTTGTTCTATGTGCATTGGGGTTATATACACAGTGTGGTTATAGATACAGTATGGTTGTATATACAGTACGGGTATATATAAAGTATGGTTATAGATACAGTATGGCTATAGATAAAATATGGTTATAGATACAGTATGGTTATATGTATACGGTATATGGTTATATATACAGTATATGGTTATATATATACAGTGTTGTTATATGTGCATTGGGGTTATCGATACAGTATGGTTATATACAATGTATATAGTGTGGTTATTTATACAGTGTGGTTATATATACAGTATGGTTATATATACAGTATGGCTATATAGACGGTATGGTTATATATACAGTATGGTTATATAAACGGTATGGTTATAGATACCGTGTGGTTATAGATAAAGAATGGTTATTATACATTGTGGTTATAGATACAGTATGGTTGTATATACAGTACGGTTATATATAAAGTATGGTTATATATACAGTATGGCTATAGATACAGTATGGTTATATGTATACGGTATATGGTTATATATACAGTATATGGTTATATATATACAGTGTTGTTATATGTGCATTGGGGTTATCGATACAGTATGGTTATATACAATGTATATAGTGTGGTTATTTATACAGTGTGGTTATATATACAGTATGGTTATATAAACGGTATGGTTACAGATACAGTGTGGTTATAGATAAAGAATGGTTCTTATACAGTATGGTTATAGATACAGTATGGTCATAGATACAGTGTGGTTATATATACAGTATGGTTATATAAACGGTATGGTTATAGATACAGTGTGGTTATAGATAAAGAATGGTTCTTATACAGTATGGTTATAGATACAGTATGGTTATAGATAAAGTATGGTTATAGATACAGGGTTATAGATACAGTATGGTTATAGATAAAGTATGGTTATAGATACAGGGTTATAGATACAGTATGGTTATAGATACAGTGTGGTTATAGATACAGTATGGTTGTATACACAGTACGGTTATATATAAAGTATGGTTATATATACAGTATGGCTATAGATACAGTGTGGTTATAGATAAAGTATGGTTATATATACAGTATGGCTATATATACGGTATGGTTATATATACAGTATGGTTATATATTCAGTATGGCTATAGATACAGTATGGTTATAGATACAGCATGGTTATAGATACATTATGGTTATATATACAGTATGATTATATATACAGTATGGTTATAGATACAGTATGGTTATAGATAAAGTATGGTTATAGATAAAGTATGGTTATAGATACAGGATGGCTATATATACAGTATGGTTATAAATACATTATGGTTATAGATACAGTATGGTTATATATACAGTATGGCTATAGATCCAGTGTGGTTATCGATAAAGAATGGTTCTTATACAGTATGGTTATAGATACAGTATGGTCATAGATACAGTGTGGTTATAGATACAGTATTGTTATAGATACAGTATGGTCATAGATAAAGTACGGTTATACACACAGTGTTTATAGATACAGTATGGTTATATGTATACGGTATATGGTTATATATACAGTATATGGTTATATATATACAGTGTTGTTCTATGTGCATTGGGGTTATATTCACAGTGTGGTTATAGATACAGTATGGTTATATATACAGTATGGTTATATATAAAGTGTGGTGTTATATACAGTATGGTTATACAAACAGTATGGTTATATATACAGTATGGCTATAGATCCAGTGTGGTTATCGATAAAGAATGGTTCTTATACAGTATGGTTATAGATACAGCATGGTTATAGATACATTATGGTTATATATACAGTATGATTATATATACATTACGGTTATAGATACAGTATGGTTATGGATACAGTATGGTTATAGATACATTATGGCTATATATACAGTATGATTATATATACATTACGGTTATAGATACAGTATGGTTATGGATACAGTATGGTTATAGATACATTATGGTTATATATACAGTATGATTATATATACATTATGGTTATAGATACAGTATGGTTATAGATAAAGTATGGTTATAGATACAGGATGGCTATATATACAGTATGGTTATAAATACAGTATGGTTATAGATACAGTATGGTTATGGATACAGTATGGTTATAGATACAGTATGGTTATATATACAGTGTGGTTACATGTATATATACAGTATGATTATATATACAGTATGGTTATAGATAAAGTATGGTTATAGATACAGTATGGTTGTAGATAAAGTATGGTTATATATACAGTATGAAAACAGATACAGTGTGGTTATAAATACAGTATGGTAATAGATACAGTATGGCAAAAATGAATTGCACTGCACCATACAGCTATTTTACCGACGACTCATCGCTGATGCTACATCAGAGTAAATGTATAATCTGCAATTTAATTTGCGCTAGAGATATATAAAAGAAAAACATATATTCGACGCTTTGGAAAAATAAGTTATCTCCACTTGACTTTATGAAATGTAAAGTGCAATGTCACAAACATTTTTACTCTTGAATGACAACACTTCCTTTCCACATCGTTGGTAAGTGAGTGTTTGCATTGTGAACATTTATCAGTAATGGTTAAAAAAATGACACGAGGTCCACGCTCTGTATCATTGATAGTGTGCATACGTGTAAAGCCAGGTGAATCATTAAGGTAAGTTTATCAAGTTTGTTTGACAGCTGAAGGAAAATGGAGGTACGTTTTAAACTTGCTTGTGGTGACATTGATGATTTTAACTATCTCTCATTCGTCGCTGTGTTGCTAAATGATAAAATAACATCTAAAAGTGTTAGATCGTTTTCTAACAAAGGTACAGTTTATACTCTTACCTGAAAGCTGTTTATCGGGAATGTCAGGGACAAGCTTATGTATCCTTGAAGTTGAAAAACTTTCCATACTTTTTCCATGAGAAGTATTTTACTCGAGCAATCATTTGGATAGAGGTTAAAGTACAACATATGATACGAAACGGAGGCATAGATTGTATCATTCAAGCTTTTACTACGAATCAATTCCATAACGGTTTGTCGCCTTGGTTCGGATATGTTAGTGACACTAAGGACATATTCTATGTCAGCGGTGAGAGTCTCTTGTTTACAGAGAATGTTATAGTGCACCATACAGGGATAACAAAGGCTTGACACTGGCATCGTGTGTTCTTCTACCTCCTTTCCAGCAATGTGTAGATCTGTAAAATAGTCTAAAAACTCCTGGAATGATATATCATATCCACAGTAACCGTTTCTCATCTCAAACCGGCCTTTACCTTTCTTCGTCGCTATTGTTTTAGGTCGGGCCCCTAGAACAAAATATTTATCAGTAAAGGCAGAAAATAATCGTGTGTATGGATTTCTAGTCACAAGTATTTTTTTTACAACACTGGAGCTATACTTTGAAAGTGTGGAAAAGTCTACTTCATTTTGGCCATGCACAATAGCTAGGCTCATGTGGAACATGTTTCCTGGTTTTTTACGAAGCTCCAGTGCGGCAACTACCGTTCCCACAAAGGTACTTCCTGCCTTTGGTACTTTACAAAAGGCTAAACTCTTCGACTTGGCAAAGAAGTATATTGGACGTCTGCCTCTCACTCTGTCAACAGGTAAAGTCTCACACTTCTCGTAAAGTAAAGTGTTTCGGTCTCGGTACGTTTTGGAATTGTCGGTTGGCTCAAAATTAACTTCAACACTAAAAGAGTTCGTTAGATTTTCTGCCTTCCATTCTTTAAGGTCTGCAATAAACGAAACGTGTTTCACATATAACAAATACTTCATATTTCGACTGTTTATGAGGGATTTCGAACAGAGCTAATGTAATATTAAACACAGTAGTAGCATTACCTATTTCAATGATTTGTAGAGATTGAAAAGTGTGTAGTCTATAAGTTAAATTATTCAGTTCCAAGATTTACCAAAATTAGTGTGTACAGCCAAATGTTGTGTTAGAAACATAACACAAGTGTCTGTTACAGAAGTGAAAGTTGCGGTCAATTGTCAGCAGTAAGCAGTTATCTGATGCAAAAGAATATTTTAATTGGTTGTACAAGAAATGTTTGATTGAACGTTTTTTTATTTCACATCCAAGCCGGTATAAACGCAAATATGTTACATCCATACTGCAGTAAATCCATATGGGTTTAATGCTAAATAGCAATGTAACCGATTTGCGATTAAACAGGAAAATTGTCGTTACGAATATTCCGTCCAATATTAATGTAATCCCATTCGCCATGAGGTGATACACATATCTTCTCTACAGTGCTCCTGAATTTTAACATAAAAAGCCTGATAGGAGTGTCTCCATTATAATCAAATCTTAAGTGCATTTGTTCTTTTATTTATTTGTTTCTTTTGGAGACATTTGACGCTTTCCTGTTATATTTACATGTGCATGAAAATCATAGAATCTTTGCTGAATATGTTAAAACCCAACTGCAAAATATAAAAAAAAATATAAAAAAATCAAGCAGTATTTTTAAGCATTTGATTGTTATCAATGTCACATGTGAGTATTCGTCAAGCTTTTATATCGAAACTAAATACAACTTTCAGCTGACTGTCTGATTTTTCAAACATTATTGTTATGTTTTTTATTGTTATTATGATTAAAAAATATGAACCAATAGTGCGGTATATGAAGTTATATGAGTGTTTTTGATGTTCTTTAATATGACAGATGAATACGTTGTGAACTGCAAAATGTATTTTTATTGGCATAATACTATCGTTTAATTTATACAGTATATTTCATCGATAGTATCTTTAAAGAGTTTTGAATATAAGATACAAATACCATGAATCCTTATCAATTGCTGCAAATTGAGTTTGTCATTTACCTTTAGATTTGGCAGGTAAGCATGCCGTCATTGAAGAAGTAGCACCTGCAATAAAAAAAATAAAGACTGACAATGGATTTTGCATATATTGATCATGATTTAAAATTGAAATTAAGGCATACCAGTGTAATATACATAATGTAATGAGCTTCTGTCGACCAACATAAAGCTGTCTTCTGTCAAGTAGCTACACTCACTAAACACGCCCTAATAGAAGCGAGACACACCCTCTCCCGCAAATCCATATAGGAGTCGAAAGCAATTGTGAGATACTACTTCGTATGCATATATTGATTCATTTTCCAAAAGATATGCGAATTACTTTAAAACCATTTGTTCTGAGAAATAATTCATTGCCACATACCACTAATGCAATAGAGAGTTTGTCCTTAGTTACCTAGTTATATGAGTACGTGCAATAACAGATCTCCGTACATAATGAAAGTTTAGAGTAAAATGTCATTTAAATATTCTGTGTGTATACATACTGAAAAGTTATATAACACATACTCATTTTGTTCCACCAGATTTTTTCAAGGTGTACAACTAAAAACAAATAATAGAAATTTGAGCACAAAATCTACAAAATTAGAACATTCTTGGGACATGAGAACAAGCACGAAAAGACACCAACACAGAAAACCGCACCGAAACATAGATGGACAAACATTATTAGCCAGCTTAAATTAACGCATCAGGGGACACCGGATGCTCTGGAAGATAAAACGTTTCCTGTACGACGCGAAGCATCCGTCATTATTTCCTATGTTTAACCTAGGAAAGTATGCAGTTCACCAACCATTTAAGCTAAAGTTTTCGTCAGATTCAATATCATTATGCAGACACTAGAATATCTTTCTTAATTTGCCTACAAATTGTCATGTGTACGAATTTACCAAATCTAGTGAATACAAGGAACGTAAACATTTTCCTGGAAGAAAGTTAATATATATAATAAAATTGAGAATTAAAATGTAAAATGTCTCACGACCCTCATTTATCATTTTTTGTCAGCTATCGGTCTTACCTATACTTGTCAAATAAATCACGTAGATGATTTTATTTGTACACTGCAATATGTCGAGAACCACGATTTAACGTTAAATCCTTTGACAGGGTTGAACTATCGATAGCAACCCATGGTTGTGCCAATGTATGATTGCTGTATGAATATGCATGTAACATCAAGTGCTAGATTTATGGATGTTTCGGATTTTAATGTATACTTTTACACTGTTCGTCATTAATTGTATGTGGGAATTCGGTGGAACTATACATTATATATTACACAGAAAGTTTACCGTATACATGTAAATGTATAAAGTTACCTGCATATATAGATATTTATTAGTCATACAGTGTAAGAGTTATATATCGTGTATATTTAAAGTAAATCCTGTGTATATAGCAATTGTACTTATAGTGAATATGAAGATAGTGAACGCTTTAAGTTATAAAATGTACAATATGTAGTTATCATCCTTAGTATGATCTTTTAATTACAGGAACAATGTAATTGAGTTGAGTAGCTTTAGAGGCCTACACATACAAAACGTATGGACAACATCTAACGATATGTTTGACGATATGTAACGGTATTAATTAATGTATATATGCTAATTGTATTGATTGTATAAATTGTATATCTATGTACTGTAAAGCGCTTTAGAGTGGCTTATTCTAGCTATATAGGGCGCTATATCAAATGTTGTATAATATTACTGGAAAGCCACTATCTGCAAGGTAACTTTTTTTTTGTATAAATCGTTAAGGGTTCAAGGAAAAAATTGACGAAACATCGCCGTTGTTGAATATTTATAACCTACGTTGAACAGAATTGGTTTGAATTCTTATTCCTTTCAGGCTATCTTTTAGCTTCTATGACATGTATGAAATGCCTGTGTTATAAAAATGAGTTCCGGAATTCGAGTAAAACACGTCCGGGTAACACCAGTAGATACGCTTGACTGCCTTCAAACAATAACTATTGATTCATATAACTGTATATTAATTAATAAATATTGTAATTTATATGATTAAAATGGATATTACGTACGTATATTTTCTCTTGGCACTCAGTATCAAACGCTGTCGAAAGGTGTTGGTAGGGGGCTTAAACTGCTCGAATTTCATTTTCATATTATTTTTAAGGTCATTATGTTTCTCCTTAAAAGCTTAACTTGCATTCAAGTATTTTGTAATGGATACTTCGGAGGGTTGAAGGAGTAGTACACACATACATTAATACTTTAGCATTTTGATTTATGCCCTAATTATCATTCCCCTCAAACCACAAATCCCGAACCGCCCTTGAACATATACATGTATACACAGATGTTGTCTCTTAGATATATCTTAACGTCCTTGGAGTTCGTGAAAATAAAAATTTATCTTCTAAAATCAAGTCATTCATCTCATGAAACAAGCCAAACGGTCAAAACAAAATAAACAACAACGAAAAATTGTTTTCTGTATCAACTTATCGTCATAAACGATTTCATTTAAAAGATGTTTAAAGCATATATTACTTTGGCAATTAACAAGCCATTATTTAACGAATGTATGAATGTTGCATGCCAAAACGGCAGTAAATAATTCGTATTTAAAGTGCCAGAACAAAATTTGCATGCATGCCGACTTACTCCATATCAAGCCTGGGTATGTGGTTATGTAAAACCACACCACTAGGCTTATAAGTCCATTCAACCCTAGAACGATAACGAACTGTTTCTTTGCCGTCGGTCCAGTGACTGCCATTCTCCTGTCCGTCCTCACTCTATTGGGAAATCACAAGTCTACCTTCCGGTAGAGATGCCTGCTCGAACTAATACATATTACAGACACGCTGTCAAATCCTTTGTCATTATGTGATTGTGTGACAGCTATGGATCAGGCTACTTGGTAGTGGTGTTGATTGATCTGTATGCATATATTTTCCACTACGCCATCATGCATACAAGCACTGAGGTTTACCTGTACAGCTGTACTGACACCTCTTATCTAAGTAGTGTCTCGTAAGACATATTTTGCATATGTGTATTTTTATTATGTAAGTGATGTGTTATATGAAATATGTGTGACACTTAAATAAACTATTTTATTATTATCACATTATTATTAGGTCACCTGGGACAAAGTTTCAAGTGACATAGTGCGATCGCCTTTTGTTCGTTGTCGTCCGTCGTGCGTCCGTATTACAATTTACATTTTCGACTTCTCCTCCAAAACCCATGAACCAATTTCCATGAAATTTTGCAGAAACTGTCCATGGCCAAAGGTTAACCAACATTATGAATTAAATGGTCCCCAGCCCCCAGGGTCCTGAAGGGCGGGGCCAAAAAGGATCAAATTGACTAAAATTTCAAAATTCTTCTTCTCAAGATCCAGATATGGTAGAATCAAATACTCTTCATAGATGGTAGTGTCTTGAGGGGTTTTAGTAAACTTGTGCATTTCTTGATCCTGGGGTCTCAAGTTTTCCCCTGGGGAGGGGTAAGCTTTATTATTATACCTCTACTTATTTTACACTATACAAAAGTAACCACGTAAACAAGCTATTTCCTCTCTAACTGCATGTCAGGGAAATAGTTCGTCTGGAGGGGTGTGATAGTTTTGAAACTATTTCCCTCGAAAAATGCGGGAAATTGAGTGACGTCGTGGGCGGGGTCTGACCGAATATTGACCAATCAGCGCAATCGAATAAGGTCGGCTATTTCCGGCCCGCGGAGCCGGTACTTTCTGGACCGACCTTCACCTCGCATTGTTGTTGACATACGACAACAGAAATGGCGACCCCCAGGTTTTCTGTGTTGGACGAGAGCGAGTTGTCGGACATATTGGAGGCAAACGACAATTGGAACACAAAAAAACCAGTACAGGCATCAGTTACATTGCTCTCTAGCTACCTTATCGAAAAGGGTTTGGATATCGGGGACATGGAAACGGGCACAGTGGAGAATTGTGATGCGACATCTTTATTTCCAGTTATTGCATTTTTTTTCTTTCTTTCTGATGTTGATTCTCAAGATTTTTTTCGTTTTGTTAATAAAGTGTCCCAGCTGTTGAAAAGTAGTTGTCTAATGATATTCAAAATATTGTAATTGTTGAAGTATGGGTATTTCGGGAAATTTCGCCTCGGGAATGTCCTGGCCTCGGGGGATCATAAACTTGCTATATCCCTCATACCCATACTTTAACTGTTAATTATAGTTTATATAGGGAAATCACATTTTGGACCAACTTTTGTTTAATTTCCATTGGAAGTGTTGGATAGCAGTTTGATAGTATGCACATATGTCAGCCCTGACTGACCCCCACGACGTCACTCAACCAGTGGCGAATCCAGAGTGTTTTTTTGTGGCTTTAAGACCCCGACCCTTGAAATTTTCTTTAAAAACCATGTATTTTCACCATTTTCCCTCATTTTTTCCTCACACGCCCCCCCCCCCCCCCCCCCCCCCCCCCCGGGAAATTTCGAAACCGCCCAAATAGGTCGGTCTCTGGATCCGCCACTGACTACATACAAAATATGTGTCTCAGATATATATTAGGATCTCTGCGGCCGGTTTATACTTATATAATGCATACTCGAGCTTGTTTCTATGGTTTCACTGCATCGGCAGCTCATGCATCACATGCGGACGTTTAATCTGTACAGGACGATATTATATATTTCTGCTATTGAAAGAGGCGTACACTTTTAACACGGGGATGAATAAAATGTTAATGTAAACAGTGGTAAAAATATCGAAGATGATATAATTTAAAATTGATCATTCAAAATAACTTACAAATATATATATGTACAATGTACTGTACAGTAGGGGAACCAATACAAGTTATCAAACGTTGTTTAGTATCTCTTGTACTAATGTGGAACATATTTTTAAAGAAGTAGTATCAAAACCGTCTTTATTCCATAAAACTATACGGAATCATAATTAATACTATGTACGTACGCGTGCATGCATCCTTAATCAGCCGATTAGTCCGTATGTCCGGACCATCGTTTAGACTATCCCTTAAGCGTCCTTCACATTACGCATCGGCTGCTGTTAGTGAAAGGTAGGTCGTATCACTCTCCAAAACTCGCACACATACACACTCGTATTAAAAAAAATACTGAGACAAATGTTTACAAACGTCATTAACTAAGTATGACAATCACGGTGAACACGCAAACAACTGCATTATTCACCGTACCGATATTTGTGTACGGCGCGTTCGATTCACTCCACGGGTCTTTAATGTGTCGCAGTCTCATGAATTGTAAGCGGTAAAGCCCGAAGTTTTTTTCGTATGGTAAAACTCACAATTTCTGAATGAACATTTTATAAAGGTTAAGATAGCGACAGAAGCTAAAAAGAATATTTCCTTTATGATAATTTAGATTAAAAATATATTCAATTTTTCAAGTCACTTTTGGTTAAAGATGCAAAGGCAGTGATTTTAGGGAACATTTCTCTATTTGAAAACATCAGGTGGTAAAAGATGTATCTCAAGATTCAAAGCAGTTTTGAATATATTCCGTATATTTCATCAGAGAAAGAAATATCTAAAGGTATATTGTTTATTCCTATTAGACTTAATTAGTATTAAAAACAGTTTCAGACTTTAAACATAGACCCATATATAGTAAGTACCGGTAGCTGCCATAAAGCTTATATTTAGATAGACAACTTGTTGACTCATTTAGTTAATACAAGGGAAAAAGTAATTGTGAATAAAATAAATAAATATAAATAATGTCTAATTTGAGTATCCACATTAAAAAAGGGTAAAACCTGTAAGACCTTTATTTTAGAAATAGACTGGTCCTTATACTATACACCATGGGACCAATAATAATCTTAGCTAATATACATTACTGGGAGGGACTTTGAAGCTTATTAGAATGAAAAGAGATTGCTTCATAGTTTTGCACGGATATCAAACCCGAGTTTCCTCTGGCCCTGACACTATATACATGTAGTAACTGAGACGTCCATCTGTCAAAATGTCTAAAGTCTGGTGTCAGTGCCAGAGGAAACTCGGGCTAGTACAGATCGTATGTAATATTTAACGCATTATGAGAAATGCTTTTCCTGAAAATGAGCAAGTATTATTGAGCTACAGGTACAGATCTAGATGTGTTTGCACAGTGAAATCAACAATCATTGAAGAACATTCATGTCGAGCATTTCAACTATTATATTAAATGGTAATGTTGCTTTACTAGAAATAAAATGTGAGTTAAAATGCTTGTTTTGTCCCCTGCTGACAGGCACTTGCCCTTATATGAGTTACAAAAAATAAAAATAAAATAAAAAATAATAATGAAGTAAACAAAAATCATCTTCAATTATATCTTTATATATACAGTAGAGTGTGGAGATTTTTTCCCCATAATGTTAACTTTTGTAAGGCTGATAAAAAAACAAGTGGTTGTACTGCATACAGTACATGTATAAAAATTATTCTCTAACTTGATTTAGCTCATATTTTAACAAAAAATATCTCCTATAAACTTTACACTGAGTAATGATTAAATTTGCCTTTCTGAATCTCAAGACTTGAAGCACATGAGGAAGACAGTACCCAAATACCTGATCATTGATGCAATATTTGAGCCACCTTTTTGTATTTTGCAGAAAATCTAAAACAACGTTGATATTTATTTATCTGGTTCATTGCGGAGGAGACACAAATTTTCCCTTTCCAACTCAGACCATATATACAGAGCCCTAACCTTTGAACCTAGGGATTTAGATCTTGTCCAGTGGGTACTTCAAATGTGATGTCATTTTAAGGACATTTGACATAAAAAAAAACCCACTATATCATTACTGTGAAAACCTGTAGGAAAGGAAATTTCTTGTAAAATTACCTTTTCCCCTGGATGTGTTGCTTTAATAGTGGAGCCATTTACTGATTCTTTTTGCATACCAATTATTTATTGAATTTCAATATCCATTTTTAGTATGGATGTTCAATGATGTCAGTGGAACAGGGTTCAAGTTCCTGCTCCTCAGAAAGTTATGATGCTCAGCCAAAAGACTTTGGCCTACCTCCCCTGGGCTGTAGTTCTCAACCAAAGCACAACAAGGATACAGATACAAGACTTGTTCTGCTGCTAAAATCTGGAAAGGGGGACCAAGATGAAGATCCTTATCAAAAGGTAATTTCATCGTCATCATTGTTGGGTGCTCAACATCATTGGGTTTAGGCACAAAGTGTTTACGTAAATAAATAATTTTATGAACTAATGTATTCTTCCTCTGGAGGTTTATTCTAACCTACGATTGAAAATATTAAACTTCTTGAAGACTCTAGGAAGTCTTTCGTGCCCTGGCTACAAATAAATATCTTCCGATATGGTGGACAGTTTTAATTTTAAAAGTTTCAGTCCATCACAGACTGCTGTTATACAATTGCAAGGTATAAATAAAGCCAGCTTTCATGGGTTATGTTTCTGCTTGCAGTCATTTTGCTAAACACAAAAACATACAAGGTGAAAATTACTGCATAATACAATTGAATACATTAGATGATTTTTCCTCCTTTACTTAATATACTTACAAATGTTAGATTGTACAACACACTTTAATTACTGTGTTTACATCAGGCACACATTGGCTACACATCAATATTGTGGGCACAATTGTGAGATTTATGAGAACCTGTGCAATGAAATGTGCATATATATGTGCGCATTTGGTAGGAATTAATGGTTCGTCTTCTTCCAATAATCTGCATACTTCCCTCTGGTGTATTGTCGCAGATATTTGGTTGCTATTTCAGAATGGAAAAGAAAAAGAAGACCCATGTGAACTCATCCTATGTATTATATCGTTATATTTGGGAATTTACTGGGTACAGTATCTATAATTCTGGAATACATGTTAACACATTATTACAATGACTGTAAAACCTGCCAATAACAGTTTGTACTCTCAGGTACAGTACCAGTAATTAAGTGATGAATTGAATGGAGTAAGTTGCCAATTAGAGTTGATTGGTGATTTAATTGTTACCTAAATACCACTGGACCTGATCTGTGTATTTACATGTGTTATTTTTACACTTGATGTGGACATTTCACAGTGTATTTCAACATGGTGACGAGGTACAGGAAATGTACATGTACAATGTACCTGTGGTAACAGGTAACTGTTAGTCATTTCAATATGACTTTGGTATTATCTATGTCCATTTAACTGTGAAATAATTAGATAAGCATATAAATCAAGCTGAAACATGACAACACGTTGAAATAAGGAAATTAAGTTATAGGTGTAAGTGTGAAATGATATTTATTCACAGGCCAGCTATGTACCTATCAAACATGATATCTATCACAACATATTTTTACGATGTTTTTCTTTGTACACACACCACACATAATGTAAAACTTTAGGCACTCCCACAACTATAAGTTGGTAAAAACTGGAAATATGGAATTACAGACGTTACGCCCCAGACCATTTCGTCCCATTTTTTTTCACATCGCCCCAATTTTCAGTTCATTTCGCCCGACAACCATATCGCCCCAAAAATTATTTTTGCCCAAAAATCTGTTTCACCCCTAAAGCTATATCGCCTCAAAATTCTTTATCGCCCCAATAGCTACGAACCTATATTGAACGATATCTGTCTTGTGAAAGTGGCGGTAGTTATTGCCAGTTTCACTTCACTATATTATTAAGGATTATAGGAACACGTAACCTCGAGACTCAAATTGGTACATTGGTTTTATATTTATATTTGTTTTAATGTTCGTGTAATTTAAAAAAACACATTAACTGGTTTGATGAGTTCTCAGTTTGCATGTTGATAAAAGAGATAGTCAGCTCAATTTGTGAAAAGTAAAAGATATGTCGAACGATGTGCCAATTAAGTTTCTGCTCTTCATATAACACAATAGGCCTTTTTGCCTGGGCTTCATCAGTTGAGAAGCAAAAATACTGTTCTTACTCTAAACATATTGAGATATCAGCATGAATGTCAGCTATTTCAAATTTTCCACGATGAAGAACGAAAATGATAATGTTGGTTTGAAATGTAGAATCACTGAATTAGATTAGATGATATATATTTAAGTCCATGGAAGAATGTAACTTGGCAGAACACGTTATAGATTGATTTTTTATAGTTATTTTTTTGAACTGGTTAATGAATTATTTTTTACTTATGCTGAAAAAGAAGTAGATATATTACATAAACAAATATAAGTACACATACTCTCTCTTGCAACACACATAACATCTTATTGTAGTTTTTGTTTCCGATCTACGGCACGTGTGTATATAATCTAATTATATTATACATATATTTATGTATATATTATCTACAATAAATAAATCCTGCCTAACATAGATACTATAGATATGTTACAATATCAATCTACGGCACACGTGTACATAATCTAATTATTTTATGAATATACATATTATCTACAATAAACAAATCCTGCCTAACGTAGATACTATAGATATGTTATGATATAGATCCAGATACGTTACTGCACAAAAAATTATGTCCCAAACATCAAACGAATTGCGACAGATATTATTTTTTGAATGTCTATCTTTCAGAATATTACATAAAAGGTAGATATTTTACTTTAAAATTTGTCAATTTGTCGTGAATTTTATGAAGATATTTTTTGGGGCGTTGTATTTTTTTGGGGCGAAATAGTTGGGGCGTTATGTTTTTTTTGGGCGAACTGGTTTGGGTGCTATGAATCAAATTTGGGGCGTAACAACTTGGGGCGTTATGGTTTTGGGGCGAATCGTCTGACACCCGAGATATGGAGTACGTGGCCACCACATTCATCCCCTGTTATATCCCAGCCTGCTCCCAGATTCTGCGGTACCTGAGGAGCTATGGTGATGAGTATTAGACACCAAAAAAATATGTACATATAAAAATTCAATTTATTCATTCGGTAATTAACACACAATATAAAAACTATTCACAATGAATCAGAATCAAATTTACATAATTTTTTGGGTCACCGGAGCTTTACCTCTGGTGTCGTCCGTAGTCCGTCGTTCGACATGCGTCGTCCGTCGTCCGTTAACATTTTACATTTTCAACTTAAGCTGAAATACTGTCATAGGGATTTCGTTGATACTTCATGGGAATGTTACTGACAACTCCCTGACCAAGTGTTGTTATTTTTCGGGTCGATCAGCAATTCAATATGGCCGCCACGGCCGCCATTTTGAAAAACTTTTTCAAACTTAAAGTCAAGTTCTACTGGGCCCATTTAACTGAAACTTGGTAGGATTAATGATCAACGCATGGTCCTGACAAAGTGTTGTTATGTTTTGGGTTGATCAGAAATCCAATATGGCCACCACTTTGGTCTATTTAGAAATCCAATATGACCACCACAGCCGCCATTTTGAAAAATTATTTCAAACTTAAAGTCAATTTCTACTGTGCCAAAGTCAAGTTCTACTGTGCCAAAGTCAAGTTCTACTGGGCCCATTTAACTGAAACTTGGTAGGAATGATCGACTCATGTCCTGGCAAAATGTTTTATTTTTCAGGTCCATCAAAAATCCAATATGGCCGCCATGGCTGCCATTTTGGAAAAAAAACTATTTAAAGCTTAAAATCAAGTTCTAATACCGGTAGGCCTAGTCTGAACTATTCTGATGTTTGATCAACCTTTTTTTATATTGGTCTGTCATCGGTTAATCGACGACAGACCGATATAAAAAAATGTCGATCAAACGTAAGAATAACTGAAACTAGATCAAGGAATGATCAACTCATTGTCCTGATAAACTTAACTTAAAATTACTCAAATTTTTGTAGGGATGATTGACATCATTATCGATCTCCACTTCATATTTCAACAACTAAAGGTAATACTGTAGGACTCAGGTGATCGTAAAGGCCCATGGGCATCTTGTTATTATTAAGTTCTCGAATTATATTTTTGAAATCTTCCATTGTGTAATACTCTAGTAGATCTGTACCTATATATGCTTATAATGCTGGACAGATCGTTCTGCTGCAGAATGTGAATGAACAGGATTTATGAACTCAGGGGCAGTCAGTTATCAGGGTTGACCAATTCAGCCTCAAGCTGTACTTTGCTCCAGTTGTCTTTTAAAAAACAATATGTATGAATTAATAAATTCTGAAAAGGTTGGATAAAACTTCTTTTTATATCGTTTGTAAGTTAAAGCTATATCTGCATGTAGGTGTAATTCTGTTATGGGATTTGACAGCATGACTGAGCTTGGAGCTTCTTGAATATTGTTAAACACAGTTTTTGACTTTTCAACTTTATATTAGTCGACAGATTGTCGGTTATGATTATTCATGATGGTTGACCGTGGTGAGTCATTACATAATAAGGGTTTACCATGGTGGAATTGAAAACCACGTTTATTTGATAGACTTCTCATTATATTCTTTGATCAGGTGTATAATAATTTCCCAATCACAATGTTTAGGTGATATGTATACTGACCATACAGACCTATTTATATATTTATAGACTCTTTAGTGTAAGTACATGTATCCCATAATCAGGAGAGGGCCTTGACACTGTTAAGCACCAAACAAAAACCTGCTCTAAATTATGTTTAAGAACCCACAGCTGTTCTTAAATTTACTGAATAATGAATCCACTTTTGTGAAAGAGCATCAACCTATTTCTACTCTTTGTTTATGACAGGGTGCACTAATTTGTTACTAGATGTACAGTGTGTGCTATAATGCTTTAGGATGTTTTTGTAATTACGGCTATTTTTAGATTACAGGAAATGACTTTCCTTTTCACAAGATAAACTGATGCATTTAACATTTCACAGTGAGTAATTATTCTGGTTGTTAGGTACAGGTATCTGGTAAGAATGTAGGTATGGCTATATCTGTTACTAGATTCACATGGTGTATTAGTATGCTGATAACAACTCATTCAGAGATACTTTAACTTTTAAAATCCTGAAGATATTTTGATTATGAACATGTTCTATATTTTGTCTATGTGTTGTACATGTATATGTACACGTGTACTACCATTTCACATAATGCCCAGCATTACATGAACTTATTTTCAAGATTTATTTCTAGGGAGGAAGAGGGATGAGTCGTTGTCTGAAGTTACTATCTTAAATTTTCGTCAGAAAAACTGTGGTTAAAAAGGACAGTCATA